AACAAAGACGAATCCAAGATCTCCGGGCTGAGCGGTGGGCTGCTCACTCATGGAAGTTTGTAGTCCGCACACCAGGGTTCCAATCCCTCAAAGAATGTGTCTCTTCCCAGGATGTCCCTGGATATCTCAGAAGCAGGCCACACCCCTAGGGAAACTCCCCTTGGGCAGACTGGCCACTCAGAACACAGCCATCTGATCCCGTCATGGGAACAACCACACAGAACTGGGGTCCAGCCAAGTTGACACACAGCTCCAACTATCACAGATGGACTTTGAACCTTTGTCTAAGATTAGGTACCCATAGATGAATGGATTTACTTCTGGTTTGTCAATTCCATTCTATCTGTTATTGAACCAGTACTAGGCTGGTTTGTTTCGATTACTGTGGCTGTAAAGTAAGTTTTGAGGTTAGGAAGTGTGAGGCCTTATACTTTGTTCTTTTATCAGTCTTGCTTTAGCTATTTAGGACCTCTTTCCTTTCTATATGAAGTTGGAGATTAGTTTTTCTATTTCATTAAAGAATATTGGTGGGTCCAGGGCACAACAATTGGCCTCTGTTCACCTGAAGAAACAGTGAAAGGAGTCAGGAATAGGAAGAAAATAAGAAATGTATGGCTAATTGCTCCATCAACAACTGCCTCATTTGCTATGAGACCACAATAACTGGATAATATCTGGCTACCATTACTGAACATTTTGATCAAATATTCCATAGAGGAATCCTAGTCAAAAGGGGGAAATGCAGAACAGAATTTCAACTTCTCGTGGATTTCAGACTTCCAGATGAAACCCTGAAACTATTATCCTGATATAATCTTTAAACCTGAAACCAAAAATACTCCCAATGTCTTCTGAAAACAGTAGTTTAGCTTAACTAGTAAAAAAGATCTTTCTTGAGCATTGTGTTCTTTTGAGAACTATATAGGATCAAATTGACAACAGAAACTTAAAAGATTTGATAGGAACTTAGGGGGCAATGACTTTATGTTAATGGGGGAGAAACATCTCAGAACAGGGGGATGGGAATGGTTGTACAACTTGAAGGGTGTCATCAGTGTCACTAAATTGTGTTTGTAGAACCTGTTGAATTGATGTGTGTTTTGCTGTGGTTATTCTCAACAACAACAACAAAATAATATAATGTAGAGATTTGTGTTGGGATTACATTATAGCTATAGATTGCTTTGAGTAGTATTTTTTCACAGTATTAAGTCTTCCTATCCATGAGCATGAAATGTTTTTCCATTTATGTAGGTCTCCCTTGGTTTCTTTCAGTAGTATTTTATAGTTTTCTTTTATAAGTCTTTTACAATCCCTGGTTAGATTTATTCCTAGGTGTTTTGTCCTTCTGGGGGCTACTGTAAACAGTGTTGTTTTCTTGATTTCCTTTTCAGAGTTCTCCTTGTTACTGTAGAAGAACTAAACTGATTGTTGTGTGTTGATCTTATACCCTGTCACTTTGCTGACTCCTTCTAGTAGGTCTAGTAACTTTCTTGTGGAATCTCTGGGATTTTCTGTGTGTAGGATCATGTAATTTGCAAATAGAAATAGTTTTGCTTCTTCCTTTCCAATTTGGATACCCTTTCATTCTCTTTTTTGCTTTCTTGTGCTGCCTAGGACTTCTAGCACAATATTGAGTAAGAGTGGTGATAACGGACATACTTTACTTCTTCCCATTCTCAAGAGGAGCGCTGTCCGTTTCTCTGTGTTGATAATATTGGCTGTTGGTTTTTCCTTTACAGGTTTAACTTTAATGATGGGACTCCGTCAGCAAATTTTGACACCTTCCCTGCAGCCATCATGACTGTATTTCAGGTAGGATGCCAAATGGCAATAAAAAAAAGTGTTATGGTATGTCTGAGACCATACTGTACAAGATGATGATTTCCTAGAGAATTAAGAGACTCCTGATTTTCCTCTCCAAGCTCCTTCCAGGAAAATGGATACTTGTTGAGTTATCATCACCAAAATCATCTCCAGGATTTCTGTAGCTCTGTTCTTCCCTACATTGAAAGAACGGTCTTATGATTACCTCATTGGCCTTCTCCCTACACTTGTGAGGTTCTAAGAGATATTGAGTCTCAGACATTCAGTCAAACATCACATTTATAGTTTTCTGAAATCTGGAAGTATCTTTAGGGTGTGGACATTTAATGAGGTATCTATTCTATCCCCTGAAATCTATTTAACTCGTGGGACAAACTCACAATCAATGTTGTCTTTTTATTATAATTGTTTATTTATTTTATTGTGATTTGGGTGAAAATTTATAGAGCAAATTCACTTTCCATATAGCAGTTTACATGCACTTTGTCTCATGACATTGAATACAATTTACCACAATGTAACAGCTTCCATTCTACTTCCTCCTCATAGTTACCTCTTCCCTCTGTCCTTCCCTCCCATGCACTCCTGCCCCCCGAGCTGTCTCCCTGTGCATACACAACCCTTCTATTCTCCCATTATTGTTCTCTCCAAGGAGTATATCTACCTAGTGTAAATGTTCACCTCATATGCCTGTCTTTTGTTTGGCTGGAAGCCACAAGAGTGGGTTCAATTCCAGACCTGAAGGGCAGCTAGGGACCGTAGTCTCAGTGGTTCCATCTCGACGTTGTCTTCAATTAGAGAAAATCACCACTTAGCCATAATCTGAAACTAGACCAGAACTCAGATTTCCTGAAATGGAGCCTAGGAGGCCCTTTCCACTAATGCTGCTGCCTTAGAAATGGTAGCCTGGCAACTCAGGGGACAGTCAGTTAACAAATGGCCAGACCACCTCATCTGTATGAGTCCCACAGGGCCGGGCAAAGCTGGAGGTGAGAGAGGTTCTGTAGTTTAAGGAATAGAATCTTTCTTTTCTGCTTGATGCTCTCCTTCCTTTTTTCAGTGCTTAAAAGTCTCTTTCATATCAAAAGAAAGTTTTGAATTTTTCGTGGAAGTAACTTTTTCTCCCTGGCAGAATGGCCAAGCAAGTGGATAGATGAAAAAGACCCAGGCCCAGAATGCTGCCATTTACATGTACCCTATTTTCTCAACCAACCCAGGTCTCTGATCTGCCTGTTGTTTGTTTTATATAGATCCTGACAGGTGAAGACTGGAATGAGGTGATGTACAATGGGATCCGTTCCCAGGGAGGGGTCAGCTCAGGCATGTGGTCAGCCATCTACTTCATTGTACTCACCTTGTTTGGAAACTGTATCCTTTTTAAATGTTCCTCTTTATACTGCTTGCCTGCCTGCCTGGATCACCATTTGAGGAGGTAGTGGTGGTGGTGGTAAAAAAGCTGGGGTAGGCAGGATGGAAGGGGGACATTGCTCAAAGTACTAAGGAAAATGGTTATCCTGATCTTAAGGAACTTTTAAAATATTTATGTAAAGAGCCAAACATAAACAAAATAGAGTATAACCCAAATCTATAATGCACACAAATAATAACTTATGGGAGGCTATTAAACTGGATGGTTGGAAATACTATATTCTGAAAAAATAAGAGAGGACAGAAATCAATATAGCCTGGAATAGTGGATAGATTATATTACTGAATTAATTGTATGTTAATATAGAACAATGCCTGCCACATAAAAAGATCCCAAAAAACATTAGTATTATGATTAATATTAGTGTTGCTAACGTTTACTGTATTTGTGTTACATATGAAACCTTGTACTGCTTTACATGTACTTTTATCTAATCCTTACCCAACATGACAGAAGAAATAACTTGCTCAGTCAAACAACTCGTCAATTGTGAAAGGAGACTAGAAATCAAGTTTGTATAACTCCAAGACCCATGTCTGGTTACAGGACCTAGAATAGGAAGATTTGTGTTTGAATCCCAGCCACTCTGTTTACCAGCTTTGTGACCTTGGGCAACTCACTTAATCTCACTGAGCTTCTGTTTTTCACATATGAAAGGAGGATAACATTATCTATCTCATTTGTTAGTTGTGGTACTTAAGTGAGATAATCCGTTTGAATGTGACCTATAAACTACACATTGCTATACTATCTTAGATATCTGGGGGAAATAGGTCTTGCCTTGTATTGGGATTGGTGGAGTAAGAAGGGAGAGCCATATCATGCAGTTGTAGTTTTGCTTTTTCCATACTCTCACAGACAGGAGATACTACTTTTTAAAATTTTCTGCTCTGAAATATTTATATGATCCACAATAGACTATAAACTAAACATAAGAAAATCATGAAAAAAAAAAAAAACACAGAGTGAATCATAGAAATAGAAGACCAGTGTATCCACTGGTATCTTGATTTTCCTGTTATTCTGAGGGTAGTTGAACCTGGACTGTATTCCACAACACGTGGGCTTCAAAGACACTTGGAAAAATGGATTTCAGGAGTTACAGTATGGAACTGAAGTGGCCATCTAATGATTGTTATCTGTCTTGTAACATTTTATTAAATGAAATATGGTAGCCTGTCAGAACCCTAACAAGAATAAGAGAAGTAAGTTAGCATCCCATTATTGAGAGCTGGTCAGTGAGATGGGCTATGGAATCTCATTTCTTTTCATCTTTGAGGACAGAATAGCATGATGCTCATGGGTCTGTTGTGTACCATTGAGTCAATTTCAACTCTCAGCAGCCCTATAGGACAGGGTAGAACTTCCCCATAGGATTTCTTAGGCTGTAATCTTTATGGAGCAGATAGCCATGTCTTATCTCCTGTGGAGTCACTGGTGGGTTCAAACCAACCTTTTGGTTAGCAGTCAAGCGCTTAACCATTACACCACCAGGTCCCTTGCCCACTTGTTTAGCTATCTCATTTTCTTTCATCTTTAGGTACAGAATAGCATGATGCCTATCAGTCTAAATGGGCTTTAATTCTATTCGCCCAGCAAGGAAAGATGGACCTCATTGAGCTTCCAGTGCCTCTCATTGTTCAATGATTCTCTTATTTGTTATTGCTGTGAGTAGCAGCCATACTTGTGTGAAGGACTCCTCGCCCTATCTTGGCCCCTGTGTAGTTTGATTCAGGTATTTCTTTATCCTATACAAAGACATTACCTGTGGAAGGAGAGAAGACATATTCTTTTTCTCCTTCAAACAGGGTAATATAACATTTCCCTCCCTCTTCCCACAATCCCTACTTATGTGACTCTTTTGGGTAGCATCTGTTCCTGTGAATGTCCCATGCAGGAAAGACAGGGTGGTATCCTCTCACTCTTGCAGAAACATGTTTATTCTCTTCCTTGTCCATCCTTAACTCATTCTGCCAGACACACTGCTGAATGTATTCTTGGCCATCGCTGTGGACAATCTGGCCAATGCGCAAGAGCTAACTAAGGTGAGCATTGTTCTCTGGGATGGAATTTGAAGGTTCTCTAATGCCATTGGGTGTCCTTTGGCTGTTGGGTGCGTCCCAAAAACCTTCCTACTCTGGGCCAGAAAAGCCCCTTCTGGAAATATCTGGGTATTTGGAGAGCCACACATCTTACTCATTTTCACTGAGTTTGGTGAGCCTTAGGTCACTTGTGGGATATAGAAAACAGCAGTTTAATTTCTGTGAGCCCTCAAAGGGATCCTTTGCAGGATTATGACATGGGGAGTAAAGGAAATACCAAAGCCATAGGTTTAAGTTCCTTCTGTGCTACTCTGGCCTGTGATTGTGAGACTTCAATCATGTGACTTACCCTCTGATGTGTGAGAAGGGGTAAAAGCATCACAGTTTCTGGGGTGTGGACATTCAGAGGTCTTAGTCATCCAGGAGAAGTTTAAATAAAGTCAGACACTACATTTCCCAATGAGTTAGTTCTTTCTTTACCACAATTCTTTACTCCAGGGGAGAAGGCAGTACTAATTACAGTGGGATGACCTATAGAGATAAGTGAAATTCAAATTTGGCCTGGACAGAGGCACATAGATAGCATCATTGGGATATTTCTGAGCATCTTCTATGTTGTATGACACTTTTCCCTACATGCTTGAGGGTCTTCTTATCTTCATGGTATGGCAGGGAAAATACCAGTTTTAGAATCTGAAAAGCTGGGCTTGAGTCCCTCATCTGGCACTTTCTGGCTTTTTTTTTTTTTTTTTTTAGCTAGGGTTAGCCCCTTGGTCTCCATTAGCATTGGTTTTCTCATGTGTAAAATGGGAATGATATTTAATGATGATATTTAATCAGAGAACTAAATGTGTAGAAGGCAGCAGTCATGTGATATTTTGAGGAAAGAGTGTTCCCTGCAAGCTCAGCCCTGTATTCCTCACATGATTACTGTGATGATTAAGTAACAGCATATGTGAAACCATAGCATGTTATGAGATGTATTATTTGCAGTTCTAGTCAGTTTACCTGAATTGGCTTTCCTTGGTATTGTCACTTAACAGGAGCAGGTGAGGGGGTGAGGTCTTTGCCTGAGCATCCAGGATGGGACCACTTAGCTGTGTGGAGAGGAGGACATGATGGAATATCCATCCTTAGCACCTTACTCCAGGGGGCTCTGGTGGCAAGGATCCTTCTCAATCACTTCCAGACACTGCAGAACATCTGGAAGCTCTTGGCTCCTGCCTCTATCTTCCACAACCTAAGCCAGCTCCACTGAGGGCTGAGGCTGACTTCCACCAGCTCTCCTGAGTGGCCTGTGGAGCAGGACAGGGATGAGCATTGTTGACCCTGCTAAGGTTGTAGAGCACTGTGTATCATTTCTCCTATCTCCCAAGGTATCTTCTGGACCTGGCTATCAGAGATCTCTGAGCCATACCCAACTTAAACTGCCTTGTCTAACTCTTCTGCTTTCCTCACCTCACCTTGTCTTCAGAGCTCCTTCTGGGTAGAGCCAAGGGAAGGCTCCTTCCTTCATAGTGATCCCAGGCAAAGCCATCTCTGCTTTGTGTCTAGGATGAGCAGGAGGAAGAGGAGGCCTTCAACCAGAAACATGCACTGCAGAAGGCCAAGGAGGTCAGCCCGATGTCTGCACCCAACATGCCTTCTATCGAGTGAGTCTACTGTCCCCACTTCACTCACCCTGGGCTCCTATGGTAACAGTTCATCAACTCAAAAAATGATTTATGCTAGGCCTGTTCTGTGCCAGGAACTGTTCCTAGGAATACAACAAAGAACAAGACAGAGTCTCTGATCTCATGGAGCGTCTATTTCAGTGTGTGAGAGAGAAATCATAAACACACAAGTAATTTCAGATAACAATAAATGCTGTAAAAAATGAAACTGAGTAATAAGGCAGAAAGTAGCAAGAGTTGGGGGAAGTATCTTAGTGAGCAGTCAGGGAGGGATTCTATAAAGAAGTGATATTTAGTCAGACCTGAATGTGTAGAAGAAGGCAGTCATGTGATTTTTGAGGAAAGAGTTTTCCCCACAAGCTCAGTGAAGCCCATTGTGGCTGGTGTGTAGTGAATGAGGGAGAATAGAAAGAGACAAGATTAAGGAGGGTAGCAAAAGCCAACTCATGGAGGCCCTCAAGGGCTAGGTTTAGAATTTTTTTAGCTTTTGTTCTAATTGCAACTATGGAAGGGTTTAAAGTGAAATGATGGACATGATAATGATTACACTTTTAAAAGATCACTCTGTTCTGTGAAGAATAGTTTACATAGGCCAAGAGTGGAGACGGGGAGACAGAATTTTTTCTTAGTGTAAAGTAAGTGAGAGAAGATGGTGGTTTAGACCAGAGTGGTGGCCTAATAGCCTATTGGATGAACAAATGTGTGAAATGTAGTAAAGGTGAGTCAGGAGAAAAAGCAAAAGTAGTTCCCAGGTTTTAAGCTACTAGGTTGGTGATGGTGATATTTACTGATACCTTGGGGAATTGTGGAAATCAGAAGTTCATTTTGACCACATTACATTTGAGATATCTATGAGACATCTAAGTGGAGATGTTGAGTAGGCCGTTGGTTACAAGAGCTTAGAAGAGATGTTAAAGTTGGAAATAAAGACATGGGTTTTGCAGGGGTCATTTGCATTCAGTTGGTGTTTAAGCCATCAACTTGCTATATGACCCAGGAGATTATGGTTGAAGAAGAGCTGAGAACAGAGGCCTGTAGTTTTCCAGTGTTTAAAGGTCTGGCAGAGGAGAAATTAGCAAAAGAAACTGAATTTGTAACCCAGAGATAGGAGAAAGAATAGGGAAACGTGGTGTCCTGGGAACCTCTAGAAGAAAACTTTACATAGAGGAACGATTGGACAGTGATGTGAGATAACTGTTGGAAGATCTTATACAATGAGAATGGACAAATGACAATTGGCTTTGCAAAGTCAAAGCTGTTAGCGACCTCTACAAGAGCAGTTTCAGAGCCTAGCGGGAACAGAAACCAATTGAAGTGTGCTAGGGAGAGAATAGGAGGTGAGGAAGTGGAACAACGGGTACAAACTCTTGTAAAGACCTAACTTGGACCTTTATTTGATGGTAGAACTAGGGCAGTCAGCTTGGGCTCTGGGTGGGGCTGACCTGTGCACGGTGAGCAAGGAAGGTGTTGGAAGAGAGGCTAGCTGTGACTACACAACCATGAAAATTGTTGCTTTTGGACCTGTGTAGGACTATGTGAGTAGCTCTGGAGTATCTTTGTAGAAGGTCTGAGAGTCCTGGGAATGTAGAGCTCTACTCAGGCACCAGACCCTGTCACCCGGTGCCTGGCATCAGTAAAAGGAGGGGCCCTTGCTTGTTTAGAGTTTGTACAAGGAGGCTTCTAAATGGCCTTTGCCTCATTGTGAGAGCATTCAGGAGTTCTGTGTGGAACCTCCCTTCCCTTCATTGTTATCTTTCTACTCTCACCTTCGTATACTGGGAAGGCCTGACTCTGGGCCCCTCCTCGGTGAGTGAGAGATTTCCTCTCCCTGCTCAAAAAAAAAAAAAAAAAAAAAATTGTTAAAGATGATGGGAATAGGCAAACTATTTCCTTCCTTTCTATAATATTCTCTTGGGCCTTGAGTAGTTTCTACCACATCTTTCCTGAGCTTATGAGTTTGGGTTAAAACATACACATAAACACACACACACACACACACACAAATTCTGATGGGTTGGAATAGCTGTCACTTAGGAGTAGGTTGTTCTGTTTGCTGAAATGAGGACGTTAGGGGAGGAGTGGGTTTAGAGAGATGTAAGTGGGAAGATGCTTGGCCCAGAGTAGAAACTCAGTGTTTATGGATGGAAGAATGAATGAAATACCAGTAGGCACAGGCCTGTGAGGAATGAACAGTGTGTGTGTCAGGACCCAGCACAGTAGGAGGGGGTGCTGAAAATATCCAAGATGAGCAGAGACCCAGGCTTGGTTGTACTATATGTGCCGTGAGGATGGGGGCCACTGGCGTGAACTGTATCAGGGTATGTATGCTGCTTGTGTGTGCAGATAAGACTGCTATTTTTTGGACTGTGGCATAACTTCTTAAGTGTGAAGTGGATGTCTACAGAGATATGCAGAAAGAACATTACTACAAACTTGCAAATGAAAAGGCCTGTGCACTACTCATAGTTATGTTGCTAACATGCTCTGTGACCTAGAATAGATGGTCACTTAGGATCTCTAAACCTTTATTTCCTGTTCCACAAGGTTATTGTGAAGAGTATTCATGAGGCCATGCTTGCGTGAGTTGGAGTTATGTGGATGTTTCTCTGTGGTTTTAGGTATGAAAGTATGTTAATGATGCTGGTATTAAACCATTTAATATTTTATGTATATGTTCAACTGAGTTGTGACATCAATGCATCACAGAATGAGTAAAAATAAATAGCTTGAGAGTGCTTTCTCACATTTCAGATTTAACTCTTTCTTTCCTTGGAGTGTTATATTGAAAAGGATATCTTTTGCAGATCTTTCAGCCTTTGTAATTTCAATTCTCAATTTCTTTTCTTTTTTGTGTGTATAGGTCTTTGTGTCTCTGGTTAAATTTTTTCTTAAGTACCTCATCTTTTGAGTGGTTACTCTAAATGGTGTTGCTTTCCTGATTTTCTTTTCTGCATTCTCTTTGTTGGTGTAAAGGAATCCAACTGATTTTTGCATGTTGATCTTGTATCCTGCCACTTTGCTGAAAATATCAATTAGTTCCAATAATGTTCTTACTGAGTCTTTGGGATTTTCTATGTGTAAGATCATATCATCAGCAAATAGAGCTCAATTCCTTTTTCTTTGCCAATTTGAATGCCTTTTATTTCCATTTTCTTGCCTTACAATGCTCTGACTATGGCTTCCAATACAATATTGAATAGGAGTGGTGATAAAGAGAATCCTCATCCAGTACCTATTCGTAAGGGGAATGTTTTCAGTCTCTCCCCATTGAAGTAATGTTGGCTGTTGGCTTTGTATATATGCCCTTAATTATGTTGAGAAATTTCCCTCCAAGTCCTATTTTGTTCAATGTTTTATCAGGAATTGGTGTTGGGTTTTGGCAAATGCCTTTTCTGTGTCAACTGATAGGATCATTTGGTTCTTTTCCTTTGTTTTATTTATGTGGTGGATTACATTGATTATTTTTCTAATGTTGAACCGTCCTTGAATGCCTGATATAAATCTCATTTGGTCATGAATTTACATATATATATATATATATATATATATATATATATATATGTATGTTTGTGTGTGTGTGTGTTTGGAGTCCATTGGCTATGATTCTGCTGAGAATTTTTGTGTCTGTGTTCATAAGAGATATTGGTCTATGATTTCCTTTTTTAGTGGTATCTTTGCCTGGCTTTGCTATTAGGATTATGCTAGTTTCATAAGGGGAGCTCTGGTGTCATAGTGCCTAAGGCATTTTTGACTGCTAACCAGAAGGCTGGTGGTTCAAACCCGCCAGCCACTCTTCAGAAGGAAGGTTGGGCAATCTCCTTCCATAGTGATACCACTGAGGGGTCGCTCAGATCCAACTTGATGGCAATGTGTTCATTCATTCATTCATTAGCTTCATAAAATGAATTCAGGAATATTCCCTCCTTTTCTGTATTCTGGAATAGTTTGCATAGAATTGGTGTCAGCCTTCTCTGTTTGGTCAAATTTGCCTGTGAAGCCATCTGGCCCAGGACTTCTTTTGTTGGTGGTTGTTTTTTATGACCTTTTGTTATGGATCTGTTCAAATTTTCTATGTCAGTCTGTGTTAGTTTGGGTAGATAGTGTGTTTCTAGAAATCTGTCCATTTCCAGGTTTTCAAATTTGTTGGAGTATGTTTCTTCACAGTATCCTAATATTATCCTTTTTATCTCACTTGGTTGTGAGAGGTGCAAAGTTGGATCTTTGCATATGTGAGAGGAGAGGTGAAGGGGAATTGGGATTGTAGATCTGATTTGTGAGGGAATTAGAGGCTGTGTCTGTCTTTTGGCTGACCAGTGCTGTGTGTGTATGAGAAAGAGAGACACACAGAGAGAGAATATGAGAACTCTTCTATGCAATTACTGTATTTTCTGTGTGCATTATTTGTATAAAAATATGGTACACTCTTGTATACATGGGAGCTCTGGTGGCATGGTACCTAAGACATTTCACTGCTAACCAGAAGGCTCATGGTTCAAACCCACCAGCTACTCCTCGGAAGGAAGATTGGGCAATCTACTTCTGTAGCGATACTGCCTTGGAAACCCAAGGAGGGGTCACTATGAGTTGGATCTGACTCGATGGCAATGAGTTTGGTTTTTTTTTTTTTTT